CGACCGCGAGCGGAACCGCATGCACCACCTCAACGCCGCGCTGGACGAGCTCCGCAGCGTCCTGCCTACCTTCCCCGACGACACCAAGCTCACCAAGATCGAGACCCTGCGCTTCGCCTACAACTACATCTGGGCGCTGTCCGAGACCCTCCGCCTGGCCGAGCAGTGCCTCCCCACTCCCGGCCCGTTCCGCGGGGCCGCCGCGCCCCCCCCCAGCCCCGGCAGCGACGCGGGGTCGTGGCTGTCCAGCGCCTCGCCGTCCGCCCCCTCGCTCTGCGCCTCCAACTCGGGCCCCAGCAGCCCGGCCACCTCCGAGGACTGCGCTTACCCCCCAGCCGACAGCCTGCGGGGGTTCCGCGGGCTGCCCGCAGCCCCGGGCGCGCCCCTCCGCTAGCGCGCATCTCCCGCGCCCCCCGCCCGCGCCCCCGGCCGAGGAGGAGGGACCGGGGGGGGAGAGGGGGGCCTCGTCCCGTTGCACTTTTCATCACTCCATCCCCCCGCCCCAGCCCCAGCCCCTTCCCCCCGACCCCCGCCTCGCCTCCCGCGCCGCTCCGAAAAAACGGGCAGAGAAGAAAAGCGACAGATTTGCTGCCGCAGACGAGGTGAAAAGTCAATTTTACAATTTGTAGCTCTCCAGCGAAGAAAAACGAGCATGAAAATTTGGTTTGAACGCCCTGACAATGCCATGAAAAGGCTTAAGGGGCCGATGCGGCCCGGGGCGCAGCGCGGGGCTCAGCGCGTCCCCCCGGCCCTGCCCCGGGGCGGCTCAGCCCCTCCCGGGGGTCCCAGCACCGGCCCCGATGGGACCCCGCACCCGGCGGACAGCGGAGGGGCTCATGCATTATAGATGCTGACCCCCAGAGCGGCCGGGCTGCTTCGGAGTGGGAGCAGACACGGGGTATTCAGCGGCTGGACCAGAGAGCGGGTTAATTTATTCAAGATGTTCATTCATATGAAAATTGTATTTTTGTACATAAAGAGCTTTATTCTATTATTATACCTCTTATCGAAGTGGGGGTTTTGTTTTTGTTTTGTTTTTTTTTTGTTTTAAGAAATCGTGCTTTTGCCCTGTAAATAAAATTTTTAACGTTTGTACTGAATTTCGGCAGCGCCTCCGGAGTTTTGTTTCTCCCCAGGAGGAGGATGGGATGGAAGGGAAGGGGTCACCCCAAGGCAGCAGCCAGCACTCCTGACACCCTGCTAGCCACAGACACATGTGGCTACCTGCAAACATCAGCTGGCCCCCAAGTCTCCCAGAGAAGGGATTAGAGCCCTGTTCAGGAGATGTGGGCAGAGCACGGGAGCAGAGTGGTGACACAGCACTGCTGGTGTCCAGGGCTGTCCTTGCCCTGGTTCATAGCAGGAGCTGGAAGGTTCTGGGGGATTTGGGGCAAGCAGAAGGTGCTGCTCCCCTGAACAGGTTGCAGAGCTCGTGGTTTTGCCTGAACCTGCAGCACTGGCAGAACTTGGCCGGCCTGAGCTGCCCCCTGTCCTCAAGCCCCAGGGTGGGATGGATCCTCTCCCCACTCAGGCCCATGCAGGGAGAGGAGAAAGGGTGGCCAAAGGTGCATCTCGTGGCCTCAGCACCAGCTCTGGCACAGCTCTGGCTCTCAGCTGGAGACTGGGGGAGTCAAGAGGTCCATCCCCTCCAGGAAATCTGCTCCACTGTTGCAAAATCCCAAACCTTCCCTTCTGCTGAACTTGTGTGTAATGGGGGAGCCCTCTGACCCCCAAAATCCCACCTTGCTGAAGAGCTTCTACTGTTCCTGCCTCCATCCTCCCCCTCTTTAGCATTGCTCAATGCTCCCCTGTTGCACTGGGCACACAGACACCCTCAAAAGCAACATTTTTATCCTCTTTGCTCTGTTTTATGGGGGAAATGAGGCAGCTACAGCCACCTCCAAAACGTAGCTGTGTGGGCAGTTATCAGGGTGTTTGTGGGGAAAGAAGATGGATATGTGGAGAGATGGTGTTGCACAAGCCCAAATAAGTCAGTTCCTACACATTCCTGATGGGACACCCCAGGACCAGCAGAATTAATTGAGTTTCATTTCTCTGGGCCTCAGTTTCCCATCTTTCATTGGGTTACCACCATCCCCTCACATCACCAGTGAATTTAATGATTTAATTAAGCAGAGCCTTCAGAGCACTCAGATTCTCAGGGCTGCTGTAAAAGCCCAAGAAGGAATTCTTCAGGACATGATCATGCACTGTGCAGGGGAAAAGGCAAAGTGCAGACACTGAAAGCATCAGACAAAGCACTGAGAAGCTGTTCATCACACAGGCAAAATCTCTGCCTGAAAGTTAAGTTAACCCTCCTGTGTAATGAGGAAGGTGGAGATATTATCAAAAACATAATTTGGGATCATATAATTGCAGCAAAAAGAGGAGGAGAGGAGCTTAATTAAGTTTGCAGAGGCACTTCAGTGTCAGCATTTCCTCCTTTCTGACTGCCTGAGCCTGCAACGCAGATATATATTTCTTTAACACAGTTTTCATGTTGCTTTTCTATACACAACCACCTCTGTTTCTCAGTGGCTACAACGTCTGAAAAGGAAAAGTTATTGTTTGGAAACCTTAATAGCAGCCTAATACTTATATTAATTAAAGACAACCTCCAGCAGTATGGGGCAGTCCCTTAATGATGTCCTGGTAAATAAAAGAGATTTGTGAAATCTAATTCTGGCAGTAACAGGTCTTGATCTGTGACGCAGTGAAGCTTTGCTTGCACCTGCCCTTGAAAGCCAGGAGGTTTTGTGTGCAGGAGCCTCCAGGGGCTGAAATTTAGTACAGTCCATGGAGGCGGAAGGTCATCTAAAGTCACTGGGTCCCAAGACACTGGACTTCAATCTCAAAGAAAAAAAAAAAAAAAAAAACCACCACTCCACAAAACTTCAAAATATCCTCTATTCTTTTGTGTTCTCTTAGCTGCCAGCAGAGATCTGGGGACATTATGCAGTGTATAAAGACCATACATCTACCAGGACCCAGTGTATGATGGTAACGTTCCTAATGGGCAATGAAAGCTGCAAACTGCGGGGGGATACAATTAGATTCATACATTAACATGAGTCAGGGAACAGTTTTTCCCCCGAGCAGTGATAGGTTCAGACATAGTTGAACAAATCTGCCGCCGGGACAGATGGAATGCCCGTATTCAGAGGCTGCAGGACCAACCTGCACCCCGTTTACAACAAGGGGGGTTGTATTTATTGCTATCAAAAGAATGCTTTGGTGAATGGGAACAGGCTTCCCCCAACTCTAAAAGGGTGGGTTTTATTTTTTATTTTTTTTTTTTAATTGCATTACAAAATCATCTCCTTGCTCTGGTACAGGGTTAAAAAAAATAGATGAATTGAATACTAGGGCTGATGAAATCACTGGCAAGTTCTTTGGAAATAGCAGGTAAAAAAAAGCCATATATAAAAATTTTCATATCTAGAAATATATATATAAATATATATAAAATATATATATAAAGAGATATAAAAATATCCAAATATAACAGATCTGAATATAAACTACCTGTATATATTCATACCTATGGTAAAAAATACCCATAAAGAGCCACCAGTCACCAGTTTCAGTCCCCAAGACCCTCACTGACTTGAGAAATAACTGAAATGGGTGGGTTTTTAGTCTTGGCACCACATTATATGTATGTATATACATTTTTTCCTGTGTCTGCTGCTAGGTGTTGGTAATCCTTTATCCCTGCTGCATCCAGTCTGTCACCTCCAGGGCATGCAAGAATTAGGGACCCTCTGCCAGGAGGACCTGCAAGTCCTCAGGTCTCTCTTAATTCCCCTTTAGTGAGGAGAGAAAGTGTGAGATGGTTCCATTGATAGGGAATCCCTGCTAGCTGGGAATGTGCTTCAAAACACAACTGGGATTATCCCACTTTCTCTCTGCTGAGACTTCCCAGTGGGGAAACAATCCACTGCCAGCTACAAGTTGCTCTTGTGCTCTGCTGACAGGGCCCACAGCAGCTGGAGCTCCCCTGTTCCAGCCTTTTCCAGTGGATTGGAAGCTCTGGAGGGTCTCTGTGAGTTACCTGGGCTCAAAAAGTGAGCTGCAAGATCCAAAATTCTGTGCAGGTTTTAGATAACAAGCATTTTCTACAATTTCGATGCCATGTGGTGCCCTATTTAGTGTCACCCCTGCTGTGGTGAGGCTCAAATGATGTTTAGTTATTAACAAGAGCATCCTCAGAAGGATTTTCATTACTGGGTGTCAATCTGTTGCAGATTTTGATTTTACTCTGCACATGATCTGTAAAATACAGTCTGTGCCACTACCCCTGAGCACACGAAACTCAATACTATAATTATAGATCTCTGGGGCTCAAATGCTCCATTAAGACTGATTTGTATAGTAGGTAGAGATTATCAGAGCAGAAGCAGGTGAGAACTAATTTTCAGGAGATTTTTATTGCTGGCATGTGCAATTAAAAGAAATCACCAGGAGGAGCAGAGCTCCTGAAGACCCAGCAGATTTACTGAGGACTGCAGTGAGCACAACAGAGATGCAAAAACAATGCATAAAATACTTTGCCTAACTCTTACTTTTATAGTCTGCACATAACACTCCTAGAGGCTTTTTAAATCTAGATTAGCAAATTAACTGACTTATTAAAACCAGTTTTATGCCTGGTAATCCCTGTTCTCTCTTCCTCCTCAACCAAAAGGTGTAATGGCCAATATGAAAACCTGCTGGAGGTCCTACAGATGTTTTGGAGACGTGGTGAAGCAACAGACCCTTTTCAAAAACCCTGTGGGACCCACCCCTGTTATTAATCCCCAGGGCAATGAGGAGTGTGAGGCTGAGCTGAGGGGGTGAAGAGCCCCCTTGAAACAGGATTTTCCCCCCTGCTGAGGTCACTGTCCTCTGGGCAGGGATGGCAGGGGCTCCACGTGAGGCCCTGCTGGTGCACATCAAGGCTCTGAGCGCTGCTCCTCTTTCATCATCGTTATTATTTTCACTCTTCCAGTTCAAGATCTGCCAGACAAGAACGAAAAGACTCTTCCCAGTGGACAATGCTCTTCTCTGCCAGCGTGGAAATGCTGATGGCACAGCACTCCCTGTCATTCAGGTCTCCCACTTCTGCCTCCCTTTGGCTGTGCAGCAGCATCTGTTAAAACCCCCTCATGGCACTGATGGAAAATCTTATGGAACTCTGATTGCTTGAAAAAGAAAGGCTGAGACAGAGGTGCCATCCTTGCCTGGGCTCCACAGGTACAAGAAATGCTTCTTGCTTGGCTCCTCCCCCGTTGGATTTACCCACTGCTTGCCAGTAGGACCTTGGCAAGAGCCAGTAGGATTTTGGGAACAGTCAGCAGGACAGAGCAGGCAACATCCTTCTGCACAGAGTGAAAACTTGCAGAGACAAGACCT